CCTCGAGGGAAGACCATACAGATTAAGGGTAACTAACTACAATACAGTTGGGTGTGGTGTGCCTATAGTTAAAGTGACGTGTAAATGGACGAGTACAAAATGCTTCCTTTTCAACGCTCTGAAGTCAACTGATCAGTGCAAAGACGTGTGTGGTTTTATCGTTTTAATTTTAACTGAAGTTCTTTCGGGATCCCTAAGACCCAGACACTCGGGGTAAAATACTCCGGTCCCTCTACCTCACGACACTATTTCAGGCAACACTGCCCTTTCCCTAACACTACCCTCCCTCAAGCAACACTGTCCTCCCTCTAAGCACACCAGTAACCCTCCCTCAAGCAACACTGCCCTCCCTAACATCCCCCTCTCAAGCAACACTGTCCTCCTCTAAACACACCACTAACCCTCCCTCAAGCAACACTGTCCTCCCCTCTAAACACACCACTACCCTCCCTCAAGCAACACTGTCTCCTCTAAACACACCAGTAACCCTCCCTCAAGCAACACTGCCCTTTCCCTAACACTACCCTCCCTCAAGCAACACTGTCCTCCTCCTAAACACACCACTAACCCTCCCTCAAGCAACACTGCCCTCCCCACCCTAACAACACGACCCTCTCCTTGACACCACTGTTATATATGGACACGTCAAAACAAGAGGGACGTCGAGGGAACAGTTAGACACATGTCACTAGGCGTTGTAAACATCTCCCGCCTCCCCAAGCTGTTATTGCCACACTTCCATTATCGCTTTTACCAACAGCCCTGACACGACCATACTCAATAACAAACAATAGTATTCAAAAATTCACAAAAACAACACAAAACTTGACAAAACTCTAAGAAAAATAACATGGTTAAACACTTCAAGTTACAGTGTAATATAAATACAACAATATTATCCTCAACCGTGAAAGATTAAATGTGGTAAAAGTCATAACATCACTCCACAAACGACACTGAACTTACACAACCGACCTGATCTACAACTACAGATTCTATAACAATAACTTCGTAAACCCAAACAAGAGGACGTGTATCGTGTAAGGTTTTGAAACACTACATATTACAGTAGCAATATTTATGGAAACAAAATTGACATCAATTGAATATATGAATTTTAGGTTTCTACATAAGTGTTTTTTCTATTATCAGACAATTAAAATTTACATATAAATAAGTGTATCCAGGTTTTGTAAACATTGAACTCCTCTCTCTTCCAGGAACAAAATAAAAATTAAAACGCTCGACACAAGAACAAAAAGTGGTTGTTCTCACTGGAAGCTTGACTAATAAACCTTCCCCAGATGGCGACAGTTTGTACAACAAGTTTTTACATATCGAGGTCTTCTGGCCATGACCCTATAGTCAGCGGGTTCTGTTATGGTGCTGATATTTTTATTTCCTTCTGGCACTGAGCTTTATCTCCGTCTGGTATATTTTTAACCCAGGGATAAGACCGCCAGGAAGAAATTCAGTGCCAGGGAGCATGGGGAATCTATCTATATCCGATACGCAGTTTGCCTCTATGCAGCCCGGCGGTTCATACAGAGATCTCTATATATTTTCCTGGGGAACTACAGTCTCTACTACAGGCACCCCAATTATCATACGAACTACCACTTACGCTATCTGGAATCCAAACAAGCAATAACAACGACATAGTGGACGTTATCATGCAAAGAGTTGTATTAAGTATGTAAATCAAAAGCATTTGTCATAACGGCCCTCTTAACTACCATGGCAACTCAAAATATAAGGTTCTTAACTTTAATAACATTGTTACAGTTGACGACCAAGAATTGTAGTTTCATAATGTCACCAATACATTGTTATAACCGCGTTACCGAAGGCCACGTAGCCTCAGTCATTGACGTAACGTGAAACTGGTGAAGTCGATGAGGTGGAAACAAGACCCTTTCCCCCCACCACCGCACCTTCATGTGTTGACCGGAGTATTTCAAAATCGACCGGTATACCCTGTACCTTTACCCGGCTAAACTGGTCACTGGTGCCGGCTGAAACACGAAATATAACCCCCAGACCCATTGTCGACAAGTACCTCTCTGGGAAGGATTTTTTTCATGAAATCCTTCAATGAATGACGCTAGTCTCCTCTGACACCTGAAATCTTATCTCATAACCAAGTAACCCCTGAAGAACACCACACTTGGCACACCTCACACTTCATACTACATGTAAGACTGTCAGCAAGACGAAATTACTCGTTATACAACTTGAGTGTGACCTCAGACTTGAGTCTCTGTCGTGTGGTGCCTCTCACTGCCTGGCTCCTGTTATATTATACCCAGCAGCTGATATACCCACCCCTTTACCCAGCTCCTGTTGTTGCATTATACCTGCCCCGTTACCCAGCTCCTGTTGTTGCATTATACCTGCCCCGTTACCCAGCGCCTGTTGTTGCATTATACCTGCCCCGTTACCCAGCGCCTGTTGTTGCATTATACCTGCCCCGTTACCCAGCGCCTGTTGTTGCATTATACCTGCCCCGTTACCCAGCGCCTGTTGTTGCATTACCTGCCCGTTACCCAGCGCCTGTTGTTGCATTATACCTGCCCTGTTACCAGCGCCTGTTGTTGCATTATACCTGCCCCGTTACCCAGCGCCTGTTGTTGCATTATACTGTCCTGTTACCCAGGACCTGTTGTTGCATTATACCTGCCCCGTTACTCAGCGCCTGTTGTTGCATTATACCTGCCCTGTTACCAGCTTGTATCATACTCGCCCCGTTACCCAGCGTCTGTTGTTGCATTATACCTGCCCTGTTACCCAGCTCCTGTTGTTGCATTATACCCGCCCTGTTACCCAGCTCCTGTTGTTGCATTATACCCCCCCGTTACCCAGCGCCTGTTGTTGCATTATACCTGCCCCGTTACCCAGCTCCTGTTGTTGCATTATACCTGTCCCGTTACCCAGCCCTGGTATTATACCGTCCGTTACCAGCTCCTGTTGTTGCATTATACCTGTCCTGTTACCCAGCGCCTGTTGTTGCATTATACCTGCCCTGTTACTCAGCTTGTATCATATTCGCCCCGTTACCCACGCGTCTGTTGTTGCATTATACCTGTCCTGTTACCCAGCTCCTGTTGTTGCATTATACCTGTCCCGTTACTCAGCTTGTATCATACTCGCCCCGTTACCGCGTCTGTTGTTGCATTATTCCTGTCCGTTACCCAGCTCCTGTTGTTGCATTATACCTGCCCTGTTACTCAGCTCCTGTTGTTGCATTATACCTGCCCCGTTACTCAGCGCCTGTTGTTGCATTATACCTGCCCGTTACCCAGACCTGTTGTTGTATTATACCTGCCCTTTACTCAGCGCCTGTTGTTGCATTATACCTGCCCTGTTCCCAGCTCCTGTTGTAGCATTATACTGCCGTTACAGCGCCTGTTGTTGCATTATACCTGCCGTTCAGCTCCTGTTGTTGCATTATACCTGCCTGTTCCTCCAGCTCCTGTTGCATTATACCTGCCCCGTTACCCAGGACCTGTTGTTGTATTATACCTGCCCGTTACTCAGCGTATCATACTCGCCTGTTACCAGCGTCTGTTGTTGCATTATACCTGCCCGTTACTCAGCTTGTATCATACCGCCCTACCCAGCGTCTGTTGTTGCATTATACCTGCCCTGTTACCCAACTTGAGCCTGACAGTCACGGCGCCACATTGCTCCATTGTTTACCGAGGGACGAGCCCCTCCCAACCCCCGTCCAGCGCATTCTAAGTTGGATACGCTTACGTTGTTACTACGTTTGGATTATAATTAATGACCTGTATATCGACTAATCGTAAATTAAATACTTTATATAAAAATTCGTCTCTTTGCATATTTCCGTTTATTTTAGAATGTTAAATTTTACACTGTCAGATATTACAGGCAGACGGAGGTAAAATTTTAATAATCATGCCTGTAGTTCTTGGGATCAAATTTAAATCCTAACCAAAACTCATCCTCAAATTACCTAACCTAATCTAATCTTGTCAAAACCCAACCCAACATAAGCACCAGTATCCTAATCTACCACACTATAAATATATTGATATAGTAAGAAATATAATCTGTCTCAAACTAGCTCGACGTCCAGGTCATAACTTTCCACCCATAAAATCCATCACGTAACTATGACCACAGAATATATAGCCCCATTTCTTCAACACGCCTTAAAAGACAACGATTTGGTAATATATAGGTTAGGTGTTGCAAGCTCATGCATATATATTACCTAGCCGGAATACCTAGCCAAGATAGCTATGCCTTTCTTTAAACAAATCCTAAGTAATTTAAGTCGGTAGATGTGAGTCCTGTTAACCACACAGGTGATTCGTCTATCTATAAATGGTATTGTTTTCTCCCTCTTCATCCCTCAAAATAAATAAATAATGAATAAATACGTAAAATAAAGACACGCTAAGTAGAGACGCTGAGTGAGGAATGTTTACACCACTAATGGCTACACTCTTTCCTCCCATGCTTTAACGACGCAAAATTCAAGGTCTTATACGGAACGAAAACCAAAGAGAAAAAAAATATAGACTCCTGTACCGAGACACATACATAAATTCATTCATTCGGACGTGTGTGTACGTGAGGTGTGTACGTGAGGTGTGTGCACGTGAGGTGTGTACGTGAATGTGTCATGAACAAGGCTCGACATACAGCCTACCTTGGTGCCCCAGCCTGATATAGACGGAAGGACAGGAAACCGAGGAGGGGCGGGGGTTAAGAAGGATAAAGGAATGGCGGGAAAGAGACTGGTATGGGAAGCGACGGACCGCAGGGTTGAGAGGAGACAGCAGCAGCAACGGGAACCTGGCAGCTGTAGTGGGGTAGAGGGAGTCCTAAGGTGTTTGGGTGATGGACGTGTGGTGGTGGTGAGGGTGGTGGTGAAGGTGGTGAGGTGCTGGCGTGCTACGAGGTCTGGTCACAAAGGGTATAAGAGTGTGTGGTGCTCGTCTGGCGGATTTGCTGGTCTTCCCAGAATGCTACATGATAATGGAAGTGTCCTGGGGTTTGGGTCTGAGAGGATGGGGGAGAGGTGAGGTACTGGAGGAGTCCTGAGGTGGCGGTGAGGTACTGGAGGAGTCCTGAGGTGGCAGGTGAGGTACTGGAGGAGTCCTAGGTGGCGGGTGAGGTACTGAGGAGTCCTGAGGTGGCGGGTGAGGTACTGGAGGAGTCCTGGAGGTGGCGGGTGAGGACTGGAGTCCTGAGGTGGCGGGGTGAGGTACTGGAGGAGTCCTGAGGTGGCGGGTGAGGTACTGGAGGAGTCCTGGAGGTGGCGGGGTGAGGTACTGGAGGAGTCCTGAGGTGGCAGAGGTACTGGAGGAGTCCTGAGGTGGCAGGTGAGGTACTGGAGGAGTCCTGAGGTGGCGGGTGAGGTACTGAGGAGTCCTGAGGTGGCGGGTGAGGTACTGAGTCCTGAGGTGGCGGTGAGGTACTGGAGGAGTCCTGAGGTGGCGGGTGAGGTACTGGAGGAGTCCTGAGGTGGCAGGTGAGGTACTGGAGGAGTCCTGAGGTGAAGGGGTGAGGTACTGGAGGAGTCCTGAGGTGGTGGGTGAGGTACCAAGGAGTGGGAGGTTACTGGAACGTTCTGATGGAAGGTACCAGAGGTGTGTGATGATGGATCTGGCAGGTGATGATTGTGTAGTGGGGGAGGGAGAAGACCGACAGGATGATGAAGGAATAAAAACCTGTTCAATAGCCAAAGGAAGGATGTGCTTACTGAAGCCGGAAGGATATGGCCCACGTTCGGGAGAAATTTAATTACCGCAACGACGATGATGTCTGTAGAGAAGGTACACAATAAAAAAATAACTTCCGCATCACCGACAACAAAAATCAAATCTAGACAAGCACTCTGCGACACGGTGCTCCACCATTCCAAGAATCGATCACAGCCACCAGCAACACCCCCACCAGGTCACAGATAACAGGTCAGAGGGTGCGGGAAGTAGTGTCTGTCTGTCTGACTGTTGGTATGACGGCGTGAAGCCCCCACCACCTGAGCTCCTCTACTATACCCCCACGTGAGAATATCTGTGGTACTTAATACACAGTAAGACCAGCCAGCCAACTACCCTCAGTCATTAATGACGAACTGTTTATGATTTGTTTGTATCGTGACAACAATTATTAAGGGAACAACCATACTGCAGTAGGTCTGTAGGCACACGATAATACAGCGTCAAACATGACTTTGCACATGACCTGCTGCATATGATGGTTTATGGCTTACTCGTGTCTTATACTTTGAGTTATGTCTTCATTAGAAATTTTATGTCTACATTTGCAATATAGATATACCAAATTTTCTGTTATGCACTTTACATCACCTTTCCCGGAAGTTCAATGTCGGGTTTTCCTTTAAATTTCAGTCACATTATACTGTTATAATAAACCTCACACTCTTGTAAGGTTAACACTATAGTCAAATCTGGTTTCACTCTGGTAGTTACACCAGCATTATTAAAGCTTTAATTAGCACACCACATCACACACCACTATTACGCCTCGCACTGAGCGGTCGGGAACATGCCCCTGTCTGACAGCCATCACGCTGCACCAGCCCTGGCCACGCTGCCACCACACACGCGCATTATCGTACCGCACAACACGAACGATACTGTAATTTGAACTTAAAACACTATCAAAGACTAGTGAATACTTTATAACAAGAAAAATACGACAACATTATGCAAAAGGGAGTAATCTGCCTTTTAAGCTCCATGCAACTTGCCAACACATTGTTGTTCAGTACTTTTAGTGAATGGCCCCTGTCTCCACAAGAAAATATGCCCTAACAAGATTACTATATTTTCCTTCATCAGCAGAGGTTACCTGTTAAACACACGCAGTCACGTTCAGTAGTTTATAAAGTTAGTTGGTTGCCCTGAAGGATTTAATGTTGAGGGAGAGAAGATATGTATTGCTGGGTGGCGATGCAGTGATCAGATCCCGAACGATGTCGTACGTCAGGCAGCACCATGATGACCCCATAACAAGGCAGCGACGGCATACCGGCGGAGACCTCAACGCCAAGTCCTGATACCTTCCTCATCCACAGGTCCTGATACCTTCCTCATCCCCAGGTCCTGATACCTTCCTCATCCCCAGGTCTCCATACCTTCCCATCTCCAGGTCCTGATACCTTCCCCATCCACAAGGTCCTGATACCTTCCTCATCCCCAGGTCCTGAACTCCTCATCCCCAGGTCCTGATACCTTCTCCCCATCCCCAGGTCCTGATACCTTCCCATCCACAGGTCCTGATACCTTCCTCATCCCCAGGTCCTGATACCTCATCCCCCAGGTCCTGATACCTTCCCCATCCCCAGGTCCTGATACCTCCTCATCCCTAGTCCTGATACCTCCCCATCCCTAAGCAGGTCTTGATACCTCCTCATCCCCAGGTCCTGATAATCACCTTCCCTCATCCCCAGGTCCCGGATACCTTCCCCATCCCCTGTGTCCTGATACCTTCCCCAGGTCCCGCGATACCTTCCTCATCCCCAGGCCCTGATACCTTCCCTCATCCACAGGTCCTGGGATACCTTCCTCATCCACAGGTCCTGATACCTTCCCCATCCACAGTGTCCTGATACCTTCCTCATCCCCAGGTCCCGATACCCTTCCTCATCCCCAGGTCCTGGGATACCTTCCCCATCCCCAGGTCCTGATACCTTCCTCATCCCCAGGTCCTGATAATACCCTTCCCCATCCCCAGGTCTTGATACCTTCCCTCAAGCAGGTCCTGATACCTTCCTCATCCCCAGGTCCTGATACCTTCCCCATCCCCTGTGTCCCGATACCTTCCCAGGTCCCTGATACCTTCCTCATCCTTGTGGCCCTGATAGCCTTCCTCATCCACAGGTCCTGATACCTTTCCTCATCCACAGGTCCTGATACCTTCCCCATCCACAGGTCCTGATATCTTCCTCATCCCCAGGTCCTGATACCTTCCCCATCTCCAGGTCCTGACATTCTCATCCCCAAGGTCCTGATACCTTCCCATCCACAGGTCCTGGATACCTTCCCCCATCCCCAAGTAAGTCCCTGATACCTTCTCCCCATCCACAGGTCCTGATACCTTCCCCAGGTCCTGATACCTTCCTCATCCACAGGTCCTGGGATACCTTCCCATCCACAGGTCCTGATACCTTCCCCATCCTCAGTCCTGATACCTTCCCTATCCACAGGTCCTGATACTTCCCCAGGTCCTGATACCTTCCTCATCCCCAGGTCCCGATACCTTCCCCATCCACAGGTCCTGATACCTTCCCCATCCCCAGGACCTGATACCTCATCCACAGGTCCTGATACCTTCCCCAGGTCCTGATACCTTCCTCATCCACAGTCCTGATACCTTCCCATCCACAGGTCCTGATACCTTCCCATCCCCAGGACCTGATACCTTCCTCATCCACAGGTCCTGACACCTTCCCCAGGTCCCTGATACCTTCCTCATCCCCAGGTCCCGATACCTTCCCCATCCACAGGTCCTGATACCTTCCCCATCCCCAGGACCTGATACCTTCTCATCCACAGGTCCTGATACCTTCCCCAGGTCCTGGATACCTTCCTCATCCACAGGTCCTGATACCTTCCCCCAGGTCCCGATACCTTCCTCATCCACAGGTGTCCCGGGATACCTTCCCTCATCCCCTGGTGGTCCCGATACCTTCCCCAATCTCCAGGCCTGGATACCTTCCCCATCTCCAGGTCCCGATACCTTCCCCCATCCACAGGTCCTGATACCTTCTCCTCATCCACAGGTCCTGATACCTTCCCCATCTCCAGGTCCTGATACTTCCTCATCCACAGGTCCTGGATACCTTCCCTCATCCCTAGTAGGTCCTGATACCTTCCTCATCCACAAGGTCCTGATACCTTCCCCATCCACAGGTCCTGATACCTTCCTCATCCCCAGGTCCTGATACCTTCCTCATCTGGGTGTGGGTCCCGATACCTCCCATCCCCAGGTCCTGAGCCCCACCCCAGGTCCCGGATACCTTCCTCATCCCTATGTCCTGGGATACCTTCCCTCATCCCCAGGTCCTGATACCTCCCCCATCCCTGGTGTGTCCCGATACCTTCCCCATCCCCAGGTCCTGATACCTTCCCTCATCCCCAGGTCCCGGGATACCTTCCCCATCCCCAGGTCCTGATACCTTCCCCATCCCCAGGTCCTGATACCTTCCTCATCCCCTGTCCTGATACCTTCCCATCCCCAGGTCCTGGATAATACCTTCCCCATCCCCAGGTCCTGATAACTTCCTCATCCCCTGGTCATGATACCTTCCTCATCCCTGTGTCCTGGATACTCTTCCCCATCCCTCAGGTCCTGACACCCCCAACCCCGCGTCCCCATCAACCGATACCTTCCCCATCCCCAGGCTGTCCTGATAGCCTCCCTCATCCCCAGGTCCCGATACCTTCCCCATCCCCAGGTCCTGATACCTTCCTCATCCCCCAGGTCCCGATACCTTCCCTCATCCACAGGTCCTGGATACCTTCCCCCATCCCCAGGTCCCATACCTTCCTCATCCACAGGTCCTGATACCTTCCTCCCCCATCCCCAGGTCCTGATACCTTCCTCATCCCCAGGTCCTGATACCTTCCCCCATCCCCAGGTCCTGATACACCTTCCCTAATCCACAGGTCCTGATATCTTTCCCATCCCCAGGTCCTGATACCTTCCTCATCCCCAGGTCCTGATACCTTCCCTCATCCCCAGGTCCTGGGATACTCCTCCCCATCCCCAGGTCCTGATACCTTCCCCATCCCCAGGTCCTGATACCTTCCTCATCCCCAAGTCCTGATACCTTCCCCATCCCTAGTGTCCTGATACCTTCCCATCTCCAGGTCCTGATACCTTCCTCATCCCCTACATGTCCTGATACCTTCCCCATCCCCTGTGTCCTGGATACCTTCCCTCAATCCCCAGGTCCTGATACCTTCCTCATCCCCAGGTCCCGGATACCTTCCTCATCCCCAGGCTCCTGATACCTTCCTCCCCATCTCCAGGTCCTGATACCTTCCCCCATCCACAGGTCCTGATACCTTCCTCATCCCCAGGTCCCGATACCTTCCTCATCCCCAGGTCCTGATACCTTCCCTCATCCCCAGGTCCTGATACCTTCCCTCATCCCCAGGCCTCTGATACCTCTCCCCATCCCCAGGTCCTGATACCTTCCTCATCCCCAGGTCCTGGATACCCTTCCTCATCCCCAGGTCTTGATACCTTCCCATCCACAGGTCCCGGGATACCTTCCCCATCCCCAGGTCCTGATACCTTCCCTCATCCCCAGGTCCTGATACCTTCCTCATCCCCAGGTCCCGATACCTTCCTCATCCCCAGGTCCTGATACCTTCCCCATCCACAGGTCCTGATACCTTCCCCATCCACAGGTCCTGATACCTTCCCTCATCCCCAGATCCTGATACCTTCCCTCATCCCCAGGTCCTGATACCTTCCTCATCCCCAGGTCCTGGAGCACCTTCCCCATCCCCAGGTCCCACCTCCTCATCCCCAGGTCCCATACCTTCCTCATCCCCAGGTCCTGATACCTTCTTCATCCCTCAGGTCCTGATACCTTCCTCATCCACAGGTCCCGGGATACCTTCCCCCATCCACAGGTCCTGATACCTTCCCCATCCACAGGTCCTGCCACCTTCTCATCCCCAGATCCTGATACCTTCCTCATCCCAGGTCCCGATACTCCTTCCTCATCCCCAGGTCCTGGATACCTTCCCCATCCCCAGGTCCTGATACCTTCCTCATCCCCAGGTCCTGATACTCTCCCCCATCCCCAGGTCCCATACCTTCCCTCATCCACAGGTCCTGATACCTTCCCTCATCCCCAGGTCCTGATACCTTCCCCATCTCCAGGTCCTGATACCTTCCCATCTCCAGGTCCTGATACCTTCCCCCATCCCCAGGTCTTTGATACCTTCCCCATCCCCAGGTCTTGATACCTTCCCCATCCCCAGGTCCTGATACCTTCCCATCCCCAGGTCTTGATACCTTCCCCCATCCCCAGGTCCTGATACCTTCCCATCCCCAGGTCTTGATACCTTCCCATCCCCAGGTCTTGATAATACCTTCCCCATCCCCAGGTCCCGATACCTTCCTCATCCCCAGGTCCTGATACCTTCCTCATCCCCAGGTCCTGATACCTTCCCCATCCACAGGTCCCATACCTTCCTCATCCACAGGTCCTGATACCTTTCTCATCCCCAGGTCCTGATACCTTCCCCCATCTCCCAGGTCCTGATACCTTCCCAGGTCCTGATACCTTCCTCATCCACAGGTCCTGGATACCTTCCCATCCACAGGTCCTGATACCTTCCCTCATCCACAGGTCCTGACACTTCCCTAATCCACAGGTCCTGATACCTCATCCCCAGGTCCTGATACCTTCCTCATCCCCTGCTAGGTCCTGATACCTCCCCATCCACACAGGTCCTGATACCTTCCTCATCCCCAGGTCCTGATACCTTCTCCCATCCACAGGTCCTGATACCTCCTCATCCACAGGTCCCTACCTTCCCTCATCCCCAGGTCCTGGGATTACCTCATCCACAGGTCCTGATACCTTCCCCATCTCCAGGTCCTGATACCTTCCCCATCCACAGTCCTGGATACCTTCTCATCCCCAGGTCCTGATAGCTACCTTCCCCATCTCCAGGTCCTGATACCTTCCCCATCCACAGGTCCTGATACCTTCCTCATCCCCAGGTCCTGATACCTTCCCCATCTCCAGGTCCTGATACCTTCCCCATCCACAGGTCCCGGGATACCTTCCCATCCCCAGGTCCCGATACCTTCCTCATCCCCAGGTCCTGATACCTTTCCCATCCACAGGTCCTGATACCTTCCTCATCCCCAGGTCCTGATACCTTCCCCATCCACAGGTCCTGGATACCTTCCTCATCCACAGGTCCTGGATACCTTCCCTCATCCCCAGGTCCTGATACACCTTCCCCATCTCCAGGTCCTCCTCATACCTTCCCCATCCACAGGTCCTGATATCTTCCTCATCCCCATGTCCTGATAATACCTTCCCCATCTCCAGGTCCTGATACCTTCCCCATCCACAGGTCCTGATACCTTCCTCATCCCCAGGTCCCGGATACCTTCCCCATCTCCAGGTCCCGGATACCTTCTCCCCATCTCCAGGTCCTGGATACCTTCCCCATCCCCTGTGTCTTGGATACCTCCCCCATCCCTAGATCCTGATACCTTCCTCATCCCCAGGTCCTGATACCTTCCCCATCCACAGGTCCTTGATACCTTCCTCATCCCCAGGTCCTGATACCTTCCCAATCCACAGGTCCTGATACCTTCCTCATCCACAGGTCCTGATACCTTCCCCATCTCCATAGGTCCTGATACCTCCCCATCTCCAGGTCCTGATACCTTCCCCTCATCCCCAGGTCTTGATACCTTCCCCATCCACAGGTCCTGATACCTTCCCTCATCCCCAGGTCCCGATAATACCTTCCCCATCCACAGGTCCCGATACCTTTCTCATCCCCAGGACCTGATACCTTCCCCATCCACAGGTCCTGATACCTTCCTCATCCCCTAGTCCTGATACCTTTCCTCATCCCTGGTGACCCGACACCTTCCTCATCCATTATGTCCCATACCTTCCCTCATCCCTTACAGGTCCCGATACCTTCCCCTTAATCCACAGGTCCTGATACCTTCCTCATCCCCAGGTCCTGATACCTTCCCCATCCCCAGGTCCTGATACCTTCCTCATCCCCAGGTCCTGGATACCTTCCTCATCCCCAGGTCCTGATACCTTCCCACCACAGGTCCTGATACCTTCCTCATCCACAGTCCTGATACCTTCCTCATCCCCAGGTCCCGATACCTTCCCCAGGTCCTGATACCATCCTCATCCCCAGGTCCTGATACCTTCCTCATCCAGGTCCTGGGATACCTTCCCCAGGTCCTGATATCACCTTCCCTCATCCCCAGGTCCTGATACCTTCCTCATCCCCAGGTCCTGATACCTTCCCATCCACAGGTCCTGATACCTTCCTCATCCCTTGTGTCCTGGATACCTTCCTCATCCCCAGGTCTCTGATACCTTCCAGGTCCGATACCTTCCTCATCCTCAGGTCCTGGATACTCTTTCCTCATCTACAGGCCCTGATACTTTCCTAGGCCCTGATACTCTTCCCTCATCTGTGGCCCGAGATACCTTCTCCCATCCCTTGTGTCCTGATACCTTCTCATCCCTGGCAGGTCCTGATACCTTCCTCATCCCCAGGTCCTGATACCTTCCCCATCCACAGGTCCTGATACCTTCCTCATCCCCAGGTCCTGATACCTTCCTCATCCCCAGGTCCTGATACCTTCCCCAGGTCCCGATACCTTCCCTGTCCCCAGGTCCTGATACCTTCCCCATCCCCAGGTCCCGATACCTTCCCTCATCCCCCAGGTCCTGATACCTTCCCAGGTCCTGATACCTTCCTCATCCACAGGTCCTGATACCTTCCCAGGTCCCGATACCTTCCTCATCCCCAGGTCCTGATACCTTCCTCATCCCCAGGTCCCGATATCACCTTCCTCATCCACAGGTCCTGATACCTTCCCCAGGTCCCGATACCTTCCTCATCCCCAGGTCCTGATACCTTCCTCATCCCGGTCCTGACACCTTCCTAACACCCAAGGGTTGTACAATAATAACCCCTGGATATTAAACTGACACACTTAATGCGGATCTGACAGGATAAATATTAAAAACGATTTATATATTTATAAATCAACGAAATGTCAACCGAACTAGTCTGCAAAAGTCCTCAAACGGTTCTATTTCCGACACACACACACACACACACACACACACACACACACACACACACACACACACACACACACACACACACACACACACACACACACACCATATGTGAAGGAGTTACTACACCACGTGAGGCCCCTCATAACACCATCTGTGAGGGAATACACCACTGAGGCCCCCATAACACCATCTGTGAGGGACCACTACACCACGTGAGGCCCTCATAACACCATCTGTGAGGGAATTACTACACCACGTGAGGCCCCTCATAACACCATCTGTGAGGAAATTACTACACCACGTGAGGCCCCTCATAACACCATCTGTGAGGGAATTACTACACCACGTGAGGCCCTCATAACACCATCTGTGAGGGAATTACACCACGTGAGGCCCCTCATAACACCATCTGTGAGGAATTACTACACCACGTGAGGCCCCTCACACACCATCTGTGAGGAACTACTACACCACGTGAGGTCCCTCCTAACACCATCTGGAGGGAGTTACACTACGTGTTTGCTGTTCAACACTACATTAATCTGTATGTTCACTGTATGTTCCTTTACCTTCTTAATGAAGGCTTTTGTTAAACCACCAATGTATGTAATAAGTCATTTATGTCCAATGTATATTTTCAGCCTTCGGGCTGCAGAACTTTTTCAATAAACCATTATTATTACACACACACACACACACACACACACACACACACACACACACACACACACACACACACACACACACACACACACACACACACACACACACACACACACACCACCAACACAACACACAACACACACAACAACACACACAACACACAACACAACACACACACACCACACAACAACAACAACAACAACAACAACAACAACACACACACACACACACACACACACACACACACACACACACACACACACACACACACACACACACACACACACACACACACACACACACACACACACACACACACACACACACACACACACACACACACACACACACACACACACACACACACACACACACACACACACACACACACACACACACACACACACACACACACACACACACACACACACACACACACACACACACACACACACACACACACACACACACACACACACACACACACACACACACACACACACACACACACAAACACACACACACACACACACACACACACACACACACACACACACACACACACACACACACACACACACACACACACACACACACACACACACACACACACACACACACACACACACACACACACACACACACACACACACACACACACACACACACCCACTCAAACTCATGACATTTTTTTATTTCCACGTACCATTTTCATGCAATTGATACACCTTTCCTTTATCAATAATTTCACGTTGATGTATTTTTACTTTATACATACAGTACACAGAGCTGTTTCTTTTGTTTCTTTCTTTGTTTCTTCATTTATTTGTTTCTTTATTTTTGTTGTTGGCGTTTACGACCTGGGAAGATATTGTGATCATGGGAGGCAAGGGACGAGCGGCTCTGGAAATAGAAATGGTTGAGGAGATTGTTGTCCCATCGAGGGAGGAGGAGCAGCGTGGCGAGAATACCTTTGAGCGAGACCACCGGGGAGGGGGAGGGGAGGGGAGGGGAGGGGGTGCACGACGCTGTGGATAACAAGGGGAAAGATATAAACAATAATATGTTTTTGTCACTTAATTCAATATTCAAGATGGTGGGAACTAAGTGAAGAAATTCGTTGAAGTCACAGTTAAAATGATAATATTACAAGATTAAACCTTAGCTTGTTTTAATATTTAACACGGAAGTTAATTTGATATAGTTAAGGTCTTTAGGCTTAACAATACGAAAAGACGTATTAGGTGGTAGGTTAGGTTAGGTTCGGGTCACCCTTAACATTACCATTCTTCCATCCCCTAACACAACACAGCCGCTGCATCATATATGTTGAGTTGGAAGACAAGAAATACATACATACATACATACATACATACATACATACATACATACATACATATAGTCCTGTAAAGAGGAAACACTCCAAATATGATGACACACACTAATAAAGACCTAACTTCGCGAATTATTTGAAAACCCGAACGGAGAAATTGGATGAGTAAGTCGGTAAATGAAATCCAAGAACGACAAATTAAAGGAAAGTGGTGGGCGAGAGGAAGGGGAGTGCGGGCTGAGGGCCTGAGGGGCTGGGGACGGGGGACTGGGACGGGGCCTGGGGGACGGGGCCTGGGGGCTGGGGACGGGGGCCTGAGGGGCTGGGGGCTGGAGGACGGGGGCTGGGGGACCGGGGGCTGGGGGCTAGAGGACAGGGGCTGGGGGCTGGGGCCTGGAAGGGCTGGGGAAGGGAGAGCTGGTGGGTTGTGAGGGAGGAGAATGAGTAGTAGGGATTGTAGCAGGGAAGAGCAAGGGGTGAATGAAGGAGGAGGAGAAGGGCCGAAGGAAGGAAAGAGGAAGAACATGGCTGAAGAGAGGAGGAAGGAGGAAGAGAGGTGGAAGGAAGGAGGAAGAAGGATGAATTAAGAGAGGAAAAGGGAGGAATGATAGGGAGGGCTGAAGGAAGGAAGGAAGGAAGACAGAATAAGGAGGAAAGCAGGAGAGGGAGATAGCAAGGAAGTTATAACATAGACCCACTGACTGAGTGACTGGTGGTGGAGAACAACAGCAGCATGGTAACTTAATCCTACCTCTCCCTGACACGACCACAGGATATATGAAAGGACACGATAAATAACACGACGTAGAGGAGAAGAAGAAGAAGAAGAATAAGAAGAAGAAAGAAGAAGAAGAACAACAACAACAACAACAATGTCCCTATCTTGAAAACTAATGTAAGTGGACAGAGAAAGTAAAAGAGAAATGTAATAAGCAACTTGAAATATTAGAGAAGAAGTGAAAGTAGAAAGTGGAGGAGGAGGAGGAGGAGATGATAACATACATGTGTGGTGAGGAAACTATAATATAAAGACAAAAAACAAGCAGAGAGAGAGAGAGAGAGTTTATGAATTAAAAAGGATGGAAGTAGAATAATACAAAGGGATGATAAATGAGAGACTAAAGGGAGTGAATAATAATGAATAGGGTATGGAGGCATGAATGGTGGGGAGATGACTAGTGAAAAGGGAGATAGATAATGGGGAGGGAGAATAGGGAGAGAGAGAGAGAGAGAGAGAGAGAGAGAGAGAGAGAGAGAGAGAGAGAGAGAGAGAGAGAGAGAGAGAGAGAGACCGGATACGATAAAGGAAGACATCCAACCACTGATACATAAATACATACATACATACATACATACATACATACATACATACATACATACATACATACATACATACATACATACACACATCAAAGCTTAATATACATGAGAGTCAAACCCCTGTAAAAGTCGCGTCCTAATTGGAGAAAGTCGACCTCAACTCCACCAATCACAGCCCAGGAGTCGACAGCAGGGTGAAATGGGGCGGGGCTTTCACCAGCGGAGGGAGAAACGTGTACAGTGTTGTTGAGGGGATTGATATCGTTGTTGTTTTTGGTGGTAGTGGTGGTGGTGGTGGTGGTGGTGGTGGTAATAGTGGTAGAGATGGTGGTGGTGGTAATGAGAATAGTGGTAGTGTCAACAGTGGTGGTAGTGGTGATGGTGGTCTTTAATGCTGCTGGATATAAATTTCACTGTAATGAAACTTGCACAAAAGATTATCACCAATGAGGAGGTTAGGTTTGGTTATGGTTAGCTGTTATGGTTATGTTAGGCTGAGTTGGGCGGTTGTGTTGGGTTGGGTTGTGCTGAATGGTTGCTGGGTTGTGGTTAGGTTAGTTGTTGGGTTGGGCTACTTAATAGAGGTGGAGGAGGAGGGACCAAGAGGAGGAGGAAGGAAGAAAAGCAGGAGGAAGAGAGAAGGGGAACAAAAGGAGGATGAAGAGGAAAGAGGAGGATGTGGAGGAGGGAGGAGAGGAAGGAAGAGGGAGGAGGAGGAGGAAGGAAGAGGGAGGAAGGAGGAGGAAGGAAGAGGGAGGGGAATAGGTAGAGGGAAGAGGGAGAAGGAGGAGGGAACAAGAAGAGGAGGAGGAGGGAACAAGAAGAGGAGGAAGAGGGAGAGAGAACATGAGGAGGGAGGCCACTACGACAACACACATCTTCCACACACACACACACACACACACACACACACAGGTCCTCCTTCTTCATCTACTCCTTCAGCACTCTCCTAAGACGTCCCTTTACTGGTAAGAATCTAGGTGAGACGCGGCCTCTTCCTTCCTTCCTCTTCCTTCCTTC